TTTGTACATGCTATAAAATCTCTGGTTTCCAGCTAGGTCAGCTGACCAACAAGTGACCCAACACAAATTTCTGATGCTAATTTCTTACCAGTACGGCATTTGGGCCCAGATCCTAGGGCACCTAAATACCTTTGAGGATCTTAGTTACCTTCACACAAGTCTCCAGTGCATTGTTCGTTAGCTAAGTCATACAAGGGGTAAATGGTGCTTATTGTCTTTTAGTGTCATTTGTCTTGCTTTGCAGAAACATATGATGCAGAATTTGTTTTTTCCGGACAGTTAGGATGCATAGAGAAGTACAATATGACACAGAGGTGGAAAGGAACAACCACAATCATAACCACACCCAATCAGGAGTTGAAAGGACCCTGAAATGAAGAAATATGCCCTTCGTATGCAGGATAACCACAGTTGGCTCATGATCTACTAGTTATACCCAACACATGATGGCTTCTAACTTAAGATATAGGTCTGGGTTACTGCTTCTGGAAATAGGTTATACCCTGCTGGAAAATGTAAGTGTAACTGGAGAGAAAAATACTATGAGCATTATCCTAACGTGTTGTTAAATTAAAGGGCCTGATCCTGAACTCCCTCACCTAGCATTGACTTAAGTTAGAATTAAGGGCACTCAGCAGCTTGCAAAGTTGCCATAATAAGAAGAATAAATTAGAGGCAATGAGGTCTTACAACTACAATGTGAGCAAAGATTGTCTATTGGCATCATAAACCAGAAGAGTCAAGCTTGAGTGGACTGGGATAGAAATAAAATTTCTAAAACCATGGTATAGTCTGCTTGCCTGAAAAAAATGGAGGTTACTTACCTGTCACTAGAGATTCTTTGAGATGTGTGGTCCCAATCTGTATTCCACACGTGGAATATGCCTGCACACCAGGCACTTGAGTCTGGAATTTCTTGCAAGCAGTATCTGTTGGCCTACACATGCACTGTTGCCCTTCTTATGCTCATAACCAAGGACGTAAAGTGCTTACCACAGTGCAAACAATCCGCAGCAGAGGGGATAAAAGGTGCGTAGTGGAATACAGATAGGGACCACACAACTTGAAGAACCTCTGGCTACAGGTATGTAACCTCCATTTCTTCTTTGAGTATTTCACCCAGGGGTAGATTAACAAGTAGTAATCAAACAATGTGGTGGGTGAGGGGACACAGAAGTGACAGCTGACTGTGGTACTGCTGTCTCCACAGCTGTATCCCAGTTGATGACTGTACAGGGCATAACGTCTCATGAAGGTATGCAAAGAGCTCCAAGTAGCTGCCCTTTGTATCTCTAGCATGGGTATATCTCTCAGAGATGTGGCTGAAGTGGCTTAGCCCTAATGGAATGAGCCTTTACCCCTGGGGGAGGGGGGGGGGGAGAATGCCAGCTAACTGGGAACAAAGAGTAATACAACCCCAGATCCATTTTGAAAGTCTCTGTGCCAGTATAGGTTAACCCCCTGGTCACTCTGCTATGGAAACAAACAGTTTAGCTGTCTTTCTAATATCCTTTGTAGATAAAAGGCCAAAGCCCTCCGGACATTCAGAGAATGCAGTCTTCTCTCCTTTTCCGAGGCATGTGTTTTAGGAAAATATAGGTAAGTGGATGACCTGACTCTGATGAAACTCAGAAACTACCTTGAGTATGTATCTGGGGTGGGAGCGTAGCAAGACCTTTTCTTTCTGACATATAGGATGAAGGTAGTATATGGTGGGCCTGCCATAAGCATTCCCAGTTCACTGACTCTTCTGGCCAAGGTGATAGCTGCCAGAAAGGCCACCATAGAGCACGTGGCCAGCAGCTCAAAGGGAGTTTTACTGAGAGGTGAAAAACAAAATTGAGGCCGCACTGAGGTGTGAACTTCACACTGGTGGAAAGGATCTGAGAATGTCATTCAAAAGTCTAGCTGTGACAGGGTGAGTGAAAATCGTACAGTTATCCACTGGAAGATGGAAAGCGCTGATTGCTACTAAAAGCACCCACAGGGAACTGAACGCAAGACCTGAAGACTTAAGGTTAAATAGATACTCAAAGATAATTAGGGATTCCAATAGAGTCTGAAGACAAATTGCATTGATGAGCCCATGCGGAAAAATGCTTTTCTACTTTGGTTAAGGATGGACTGCACCCTCGTGGAAGTCGCCCTGGATTGGAGTGTGTGAACTTGCCCCTGTGTTGTGTTAGACGGTCCAGCAATGTGGGGATGTTCATGGGTGGTCGCACTGAGTTTCAACAGATCCGTGAATCAGAACTGTCTTGGTCAGTTGGGCGTAATGAGGTTGGCTTGAACTCTGTCTCGGCAGATCTTCCGTAGAACCTGTGATATCAAAGGAATTGGAGGGAAAGCATACCCCAGGCGATCCTTCCACAACATCAGAAGGACATCTCCCAACAAGTCTTTGCCCAGGGCTGCACTGGAGCAGTACCGAGGAAGCTTCCTGTTCACCTGAGAGGCAAAAAGTTCCCAGGCCAGCATTCTCCATTGCTTGTTTATAAAAAATACTGTTGTCATATTATCTGACGTTATCTGAACATGTTTGGATCGGATCAGTGGGAGGAAGGCATTGGAGGCCTGATGGACCACCCCGAGTTCTAGTGAATGGATGTGCATTGTTCCAAGTAAGGCTGTGTCAGCCATAGGCTACTGTACAGTTAACATGCAGGAGTGGCTACTTTTGAGATCTATTTTTATTTTTATCCTCCAATTACTTTTAAAAAATATATAAGCTGGAAGTGGCTCTCACTGTGCTACAGGAGACAACTTACTGTTAACTCTTTATGCTACACACTTTGTTCAGAGATTTCCTCTCCCTCCAGTTATTTATGATGTGCCAATCACCCTGGTATCTAGGCACCTATTTCCACAATGGACATTTTCAACTTTTCTATTTTATTTAAACAGATGAGTGTGATGAAAACAATAGATTTATAATTAGGAAGCAAAACACAAAGAAGCCAACCTCAATCCCAAAGGAAAAGCTAATTTTCTTCCACTTGTGCTATGCTCATCACTGTATATCTGTATAGATTTACAGGGAACCATAAAAATGGTCAGTGTCAAAACAGTAACAGAGGGTCCTGTGGCACCTTTAAGACTAACAGAAGTATTGGGAGCATAAGAACCTCACTTCTTCAGATGCAAGTGTCAAAACACTCGCCATTCACCATCTGTTTTGGTAAGTCACATGCTTGTAACATGTTTTTCCATTTCAATGGCATCTTTTCCTAATATGGTGCAGGATCGGGTCCATAATTAAGCAAATAAAAAGCTCATTTAAAAAAGACTGCAAAATTCTGCTAACGAAAATGGATTCATGAGCTTCTAGCATTACTGAGAAATATTTTCAGATGAATCAGTTAAAAGTACTGACCGGCATAGGGCTTATCAGTGGAAACCCTTACGTTATAAACATATGTCATGCATATTTTCAATCTGGAATTAGCTTGGCAGCTTCCAGTTTTTTCCCTTTAACTATGGATGAGCTACATAATCAACCTATTATAATTTTGCAACGATGCTTTCTGTGGATTCCAAAGCCTTACAGAACTTTTCCCTATGGGACTTTCAAAAGTCTTCAAATTTTCCTTAGCTGCTTACTGGATCGTCACTAAAGCAAAACAAGGTCAGGGAATTCAGATTCAAAAGAGAAATTTTGTAAAACAAACTCTGAACTATTTTGGTAGTGCATGAGGACCCGTGAGTAAAACATGACAGAAATAAAATAGACTAATTTGTTTTTACTCCCCAGCTAAGTGAAATGATGAGAACCAAAAACAATAAACTGTAACCATATAAATTAATTTTTTTAACTCATCAATTTCCTTCTAGTCCTCCTGACTAATCGATAGTGCATAGGTGCACTGACCCAGCAGCAGTGCAGGGAAGGAAATCATGATTCCCTTCTGAGTGGAGCAATGGGAGAACAAAGGTTTTAAACTATTGTTGTCCCAGATTGTAGATTACTATCCCCATAGGCCAGTACAACCGCACTAGCCAGTGAATGGAGAGATGGATCCAAGGCTCCACCTACTCCCAACATACCTGCTCAGAGAGGAGAGCAGTATATATACACAGGCACACAAAGGCATATATGATATTTTAATTTATGATATTCGTACATACACACACACTCTTTAGAGCCTCAGTCCCACAAACAACATCTGCGAAAGGAACACACTGATGATTTATTATTTGTTAAGCACCATTGGTTTGTTGTTTACACCAGATACAAATAAAGGCAGTCCATGCCCAGAAAAGTTTCCAGTCCAAGGCCCCAACCCCGCCAGCTCTTATTTCCTCAAGTGTGAGGCTCCATGTCACTGCTTGCACAAACACAGCTGAACAGTTACCAAGAGGCCACCCAGAAGTGGTGTTAATTAAGAATGCTTAGTATATATTTTTAAAATCTACACACACACCCACACCCTGCCCTTTAATAGGATTCTGGGCTGGAGAAGGCAACTGACGAATAGGTTACTGTTTGTGGGCCTCTTGGGAGTAGCGAGTCTCTTTGTGCATAGCAAAAAGGAAGCAGATATTTGTACGTTACACCTTATCAGCAGGAACTATTGCTGAGCCAACTTTCGTTTGCTATTCTTAAATAGAGTCCAGGGAGACTCATCTCTTAGTAACTCTTAACAAGCAGGTACATGCCGGCATTCTGCACCTAGCTATAGTAATAATACTTCCAACACCTATGCAAGAGGGGAAAGCGTTGCTATCAGTGACAGCTGCTCAATATCCCATTAAAGAGCTCAGACACACAACTCAGAGTCCAGCCATATAATAGCTGTGATAAAAAAACAGCAGGGCTAGGAAAGGGATCAGTGGTTTAAAGATTCCAAGACACACTAAAAAAATAGCTTAATTAATGTATATCCCTAGCTCTGTTCAACAGAACGTCCTCAGTCTGTTTCCTGTCTGTAAAAATTAAGAGCAATGTCCCTTGTACAATTTAAACTCTGCAATTTATCATGAGATGTTTCCTTGGGACAAACCTTTGCAATTTCCAGAGCTGTGATGTACTGGCAGTTGTAGTTGTAGTTCCATGTGTGCTCTCAAGCAGTAACGTTTCCGCAGCTCAGAAGTTACAGCTTCTCTGACTGAGTAGAGGAAAGACTGGGATCCTTCAGAGAGATGGCTCTCCCACTGGTTTTACTCCTAATATTTTGTGGACTGACTAGCACTGAAGGGAGTGGCCCTGTCAAAGAGGGAGTGGCTGGGCTCCCAAACAATCTAAAGGAAGAGTGAGAATTTTCCTCTTTAAATCAGTTAGTCATTCTGGATGCTGATACAGTTCACCTTTCAAATGCATTACATTTTCCATCTTACTGCTCATCTGGGAGAAATAGCTAACTAGCGTAACAGTGGTAACAGCTTCCTTTTATATAGCAGCTTGCAGCCAAAATTATCCTACATCACCTTAAAAGCTGATTATAAACAGTAGACCTGGCCACCACCTGTTCTACTCCGAGAGTCTGCAGAGTTGTCTGGGCCCCATCTCCACCACATTATCCCCTAGGCAAGGGGGAGAAAGAGGGCTGTGTATGGTGGGGATCATGGGAAATTCTGTCCCCAGTCCCATCCATCCCAACCTAGCGTACAAGCCAAATTACCTGCGTACCTCTTATAGACTCCCACCCTACCACCAAAACACGGTGGGCAGGTGCTCTGCTGCCACTTCTCCTCTAAATCTTTTTGAAAAGATGCCAAAAAAAAATACATAAACATACCCTGAGTAGGAGCAGATAAATCCAGATTTTGGCCAATGATGCTTAATTCTCTGCTTTTAAAACTAGATCAAACATTTAATTTCCTGAACTCTCAACTTCATTTTTCCTCATTGAACTAGCATCTTCTCAGCTATACAGTCAAATACATACACAGGCTCTCTCACTTTCTCTTACACATACACTTTCACACACACACAATTTGGTCTCTATGCCTTTTATTCTCAGTCTGCTATTCTTCCCCTCTGACTTCATGTGCTGTTTTCTGATACCATGTGAATGTTAGTACAACCCAGGACAGGGCGTTCACTCACTTCAGGCTTTTATGTGTTTGTCTGAAAATGATTATCCCAGCAGAAATGTTTGAGGGGGTGGGGAAGAGAAGGAAGCATCTCTCCCACTGCCCTTTTTAATCATCAAAGCACTTCACACACATTAACTAATTAATCCTCACCACCACCCTTGTGAGGTAGCCAAGGATAATTATCCCCTTTTAAAGAGATTGGGAATTCCCAATCCCAGGAGGCACTAGGCCCTTGCCACACTTTATGTTTTAGCAGCTTTTAGGATCAGACTCTCAGATACTACAGTGAGGAGGGATAAATAAGTACAGAAGGAGACTGTTCGGTATGTATGAGGGTCGCCATTCAGATGACTGAATTCCTGGTGCCTAGTCCTGTGATCTGTCCACTTGGCCACACTCTTCTCTTTTTAGCTTTGGTCCCCCCGTCTCCAAAATGATTTGATAAAAATCTATATCTATATATTACACATCTGAGCCTGCTTGCAAAACAGCACTAGCAATGATTCTATCATCATATTATAGGCCATATTAATGCACCCAAGACAGTACTGTATACAGCATGTAAGAGGGGACAGTACCTACTGGCCCAGTAGACAATCTCTTACACTTAACAGGCAGTACCATACCCAAGAACCTTTCTACAAAAATCCCTGTAACTGGTCTCCTGAAATGCTCGTCTCAGAGGGAAACAGACGTATATAATGGACTGACATGCAAGTTAGCAAATTTATAGGTGCTTATAACTGTCAAACTTTAATAATTCGGGCTGAAGTTTTCCATGTTGAGTATCTGTTTCAGGCTGATCTTTATGGAATTTTTCAGCAAAAATAGTTTAGCTGTTTAGCCAAGAAACAGATGAGGGGAAAATACATTGTTTTGTCCATATTAACAAATTAGTTGTCAGAATTTATTTTAGCAGCTCTAGCTCAATGCTTTGGAGCAGGGACTTGAAATTTGGCAGGAACATCACCCTGATGTCAGGGATGTGTTTTCTACTGTTCCCATGAAAAATCATTCAAATTTGGCCAAATTACAAGCCCTTGAAAAAATTATGGTGTGCACGTGCTCAGTAGAGACTTGCTAGCAACCTTTCAGAAGTGGTATGCCGAGTCTTCATTTATTTACTCTAATTTAAGGTTTCGCGTGCCAGTAATACATTTTAATGTTTTTAGAAGGTCTCTTTCTATAAGTCTATAATGTATAACTAAACTATTGTTGTATGTAAAGTAAATAAGGTTTTTAAAATGTTTAAGAAGTTTCATTTAAAATTAAATTCAGTGTGAGTGCCACTGAAAATCACTCATGTGCTGCCTTTGGCACATCTGCCATAGGTAGGGTTACCATACGTCCGTTTTTTCCCAGACATGTCCGGCTTTTCGGCACTCAAACCCCCGTCCAGGGGGAATTGCCAAAAAGCCGAACATGTCCGGGAAAATGCCGGCCAGGCACTTCCCCTCCCGCGGCGGCTCTGCTCCTCCCCTGACTCTTCGGCTCTGTTTAAGAGCCGGGCTGCCCGAGCGCTACCAGCTTCGGGCA